TATAGTATTGATCTTGCTGTAATTCATATTAAGGCCTATCTTTCTAGCTTCTACGTCCAGTTCTTTCATCATTTCAAATAATTCTTCTTTTTTATCGGTTATCAATACGATGTCATCAGCGTACCTTAGATGGTTCAACCATTGTCCACAAATTTTTATACCTTTTTTTCCAATTCTAAACCAATAGTGCCAGCAAATTCATTTGATTTGAATGGACTCAAAAGTTTGTGGGGATTTAGGGATACAACCCCTTAAAATTTTTCTGTGCGCTTAAATTTTGTTATTTCTTTTGTATAAAAAATGCTTTCAGAATAAGAAAGTAACGTGTCCACTTTTATTACAAAATGTCAAGTAGTTTACGAGATAATGCGAAAAAACAATTTTTATTTATTTATTTGTAACTTTTTTGTGGATACTTTTGTACTAAGGTAAGTTAGATTCAATCAATTTATTTTTGTCCCTGGAATGCGTGATTGAATTTATGACACACCTTTTTGAAACATCCTGCATAAATTATTGGGGGTAATTCAAAGATGCAGAATCTGTACAGCGAGTAAGAATGTAAAATTTGTCTGTACTAGAAGAACTGTTGGAGATACTTTTTTGTAATTGCACAAAATGTTGCGAAACTTCTTATGGTTGTAACAGGCTAGGTTTAGTTAGTAATGTCACATGCGCGATCTGCTCGGGAGATAATTTTATTGTCAAAAGTGCCCTCCAATTATTGAAGGAAAAGATGAGGTAAATGTAGATGTATCAAGTGATTGTAATGGTTCCTGATTTTTTGTACTATTTTTTTACATAATTTACCATAATTTTTACATTTTTTATATATTATATTTTAATTATATCTTTATATCGTATAATATATATATATATATATATATATATATATATATATATATATATATATATATATATATATATATATATATATATATATATATATATATATTAGCACCGCGTGTAGTTTCTAAGGGTTAAAAACGTTGCAACCAAAGAAATAATGTTTCATGGGCAAGGAACAAATTTTTATTAATTTAAATACATAAATTTAGAATTTTAATGTGTAAAACACTATTTTTAACGTTGTAGTTATGTTCATGGGTGACCTTTAGGGGTTGAACAGTTTAAACTAAAGAAATATCGATTCATAAGCGAGGAATAAATTTGTTGTTTTCTAAATAGAAAATTAATACATTTTGAAGTACCTATAAAAAGGCTTTTTAAGTATTTTTTTCATAGCGGGGTTTCTTTCTCGGGGTTAAAACCTTAAAACCAATGAAACATAATTTCACAGGCGATGATTTTAATTTATAAAGCTAAGAATTTTCATCATAAAAAATGTTTTAACATTTAGGGTAAGTCTGGGAGAGTTGGGCCACATTTCTTTGGACGCTCAATAAAAGTCTGGGTAAGATGGATCAATAGCTTGGAAGAGATGGACCAGGGGTAAAAAGTAGGATGAATAAATACAAACCAAGTATAAAGTAAGAAATGACCAAATAAAAAAACAAACAAGTCTATTCTTATGCTTTTTTCACCCCAATCTTCCTATTAATGGGACACTTTATTTTTGTCCCTGTCCCTTTTTGTGACATTATTGCCCTGGTACCGAAAAAGTCACATTTTACTTCAAATCTAGAGCAACCCTCATTAAACCACCGAGAACACTGTACACACTTCACCCAGTCTTCTTTTTTTGTAGTTTCATTGTAGGCCTCGCCACATCCCACATATTCAACTTCATTCCGTTCTTCTACTAAAATATTGTCATCTTGGACCAGATCTGCAGAATCATAGCTTTCTGAGTCTGAACTTTCAAACTGTGTCACTTTGTCAGATGGTTCCTTTTTTTGGCTTTAGAAACTTCTTTTTTGATTTAATTTTTTTTTTCTCAGTTGATCTTGTTTCTTTTTCTTTTTTTGTTTATCTTTCATTGCTTGCTCAATTGCCTTTCTTTTTACAACAGCAATGTTCTAAGCTAAATTCAATACTTTTGAAAAAGTCGTCAAACGTCCCTTAACGGTTACTTTCTGCATAAGAGAAGGGACGGGTGATATATTTTCTAGAAGTTCTGAAGGAGTCATTTTTGACGGTATAAGGTTACTAGAAGTACTGAGGATACTGGCAAGATCAAATTGAGTTTTTGATACTGCACAGGAGACAGAATAATCAACAGTATCACTTGTTGTCACACTTGTTGTTACAGCATTGACGTATTGGCCGATAAGTCCTGCATTGGAGGCAACAGAATCAACCTCACCAGTTGGTGCACTAGCGAGAGTGTGCACCAATACTTGGACAATGGGAACTGTACCGGACAAATCGAGCTCTAGGTAGGCGTAGGCTTGTATTACAGACATATCTAGAGGGACTATGGCACAAGCTTAAAATCCACTCACACCATTTTGTACACCTGCAGCTTTGGTCCATGCAGAGTTGAGAAGTTTTCCAAACTGTAGATGATTGATATTTCTGGTGTAACCAGGTTCAAAGGTTGTAGCCAGTGTGAAGTACAGGGTGGAATGCTTATCAAAATGATTCCTGCTGGCTCCGTGTAGACTAGGATTTTCAAGGAACTGGTGTGTGAAGTGTGACCATCAAGTAAGAGAAGTACTTTCCCGGTTGGTTTTCTAGGTTGGAAATGACTTTTTAACCAGTGCATAAAAATTTCACTGGCTACATAATAAGATTTGTGTGACATTTTTACAACTAAGCCAAGAGGCCGTACATAAACTCAACTTTTAAGTTATTGTCATTCATTATGCAGTATGGGGGAAGAAATGTACCTTTAGCGTAAGCACAATCTAGAACAGAAACGGTTTCACCCTTTTTCCATGACGTAATGGAACCTTTACATTTTTGGAACCTTTAATGGCAACATTTCCTGGCTTGTTGTTCAATTGAAGCCCGGTTTTGTGCATGTTAAAAATGTGCCCAGGATTTTGAACCAAATTATTTTATAAAATAACACTTTCGAGTAACTTGAATACTCTTCCACACACCTCTTGTTCACTCCCTTAGCTCGAAATACAGATACACCTTCTGATTTTCTAATAGTAAAAGTAAGATTTTTGAACCAACTTTTATAGTTTTCTTGTTGAATTTGTGGGGTAGTTTTAGCTCTTCAGCAAGTTTAAACTCCATGCTTCTCACCAAATCCCTACTACTACTACTACTACTATCGACTTACAGCGTTCTCCGATGCCTTTCGACTCCTAACCGCCAGTCTTCTCTATTTAGTCATAGGCCTGGAGGGATTTCTCCTTCTTCTAGTTCTTTTTCAATTCCCTCTTTCCAGCTTTTTCTCGGCCTTCCTCTTTTTCTTCTTCCTTGTGGTATCCACGTCAAAATCTGCTTCGGAATTCTGTCATCTGGCATTCTCTGTACATGGCCGTACCATATTAACTGGTTTGTTATTATGTCATCAACTATTGTAGGCTTGACTTCCATCATTTCCCGTATTCTCTCAATTGGTATCCGATCTCTTCTTGCTTTGCCTGCTGCTCTTCTCCAGAAGTCCATTTCTGTTGCTAATAACAGTTTTTCTGTTCTTTGTTATATTGGCCAAACTTTACTGCCATATGTGATTACACTTTTAAGTATAGTGTTGAATATGAGCTATTTGTTTCTTTTTAGATATTGTTTGGTCCCACAGAATGCCGTTCATGGATATGGCTTTTATACCCTGTATGTTTCTGTCTTTTATAGCATCATCGAGTGTTTCATCTTGAGTTATCGTCATACCCAGGTACTTGTATTCATCACATTGTCTAATTTCTACCCCATCGTCTAATAAAAATACTCACTAAATCTCTGCAAGGAATAAACCCATGAGCTTGTAACTTTTTTATGTGGCCTACAATCTTCTCTTCGTTTACTCTTCCTAAAATGTAGAAAAACCCTAAGCTGTTCTTCGTAAACTTTTGTTTTTTAACCCTTCTTTTAAGAGTGATCTTAGGAATTTAATAAGCTTTAGCAGCAGCATTGACACCCATTTTGTTATTTTGCACCGCATTAACCGGTTGTATTAATGTATCTTCTGTCCACGCCCCTCTACTGGTATCCTTTTTTACGTAGTTAGTTGGCATTTTTCTGAAACAGAAAAATACTAGCAACTTAGTAATTACACTATAAGTCGTTTTAATAAAAGAAACATTTAAAAACGTTGGTACTGGTCCATCTCTCCCGTATTGAAATACGTGGCCCATCTCTACCAAAACGTATTGGTCCATCTCTCCCAAAAGTCCGGGTGAGATGCACCACCTCATAATTCGCATTTTTAACGTACACATGGCGGCCTTTTTAGGCTAGGCTACTTCCTACAGGTTTATTGACATCACTACAAGTATCCTACGTCGATGTCACGTAAACTTAAACTTAAAACTAAAACTATGTTAATACGTTAAAAAACTTTTGGACCCACCAAAACAGACAATGACGTTTTTCTTGACAAATACTAACAACAACACCACACAACTAACAGCATGTCTTCACTGTAACTGAAGCATACTCACAACAAACTGGTCCATCTCTCCCGGTGGTCCATCTCTCCCGGACTTACCCTAACATCATAAAGTTGAAAATTTGTATTAAAGTGCAAATTATCATTAAATATGTTCATTTTACTTAATTAATTTAAATTTTATTGTTTTCCTATTGTTCACTTTGGCGTAGTTTTAACCCCTTATAAACAAAAAGCACACTTTTCACATGTATAACATTTTTAAAGGAGGTTAGGACAAGCTTAAGTCTAAATTTTTAGCTAAATTCATATAGTTCGACAGAACTGGGAGGTAAGGTCCTATTTTCCGCCTGAGTTACTGCACTACTTATATATACATACATTTACATATCTACTAACCGCATTAGAAAGAACTGAGACACTGAAAAAAATCTATGAACAACTTTATTTATAATTTTAATATAGCTAAATTGTTCCAACAAATTTATTTTTAAAACTTTTTAGATTTTTAAACGATCTTTCTATATTTTAGGCTCCAGAACCAGCTGAGCCATGGAGCGGAGTAAGGGATGCTACGGTTGATGGAAACTGTTGCTATCAACGAAATGAGTTCACGAAAGAACGTGAGGGTTCAGAAGACTGCTTATATTTAAATGTTTATACAAAAAAAGTAGGTTTGAATTCATTTTATACTGATTTTAAAATAATTTATGACATTTATGAAAAGAAACAGTAATAATTGTTTACATTTATGGTGCATTTAAAATTTAAGAATTATATAAAAACTTTTAAGCTAGGCATAATTTGATTTCTGTCAATATGTATTGTTATGTTATTACTTTTTTTAATTAATTAATTGAGCAAATCAAAAACATAACTTAATTGTTCTCAGTGTGAAAAATCTCCTTATATTAACCTATGTTGTGTGGGTCCAAAGATTTCCTAGTTGTCCTTTATCGGGATAGAGAAAAAAGGATAATAATAAAAATAGTATGTTACAAATAATTGGTATTCTTTATTTTATTTAAAAAAGAATAAAACAATTATAACAATTAAATTTTGCCGTTATCTTGTCAAACAGCATAAATGAGTACAATAAAATTTACACAAAAAGAATATTTTTTCTTGAAGACAAAACCAATTTAAAGCCAATTTCAATGAATAATTTTAAAACCTTTTATCTTTCTGGTTTTTCAATATTTACTTTATTGCAAAAACAAAACTTTAAAACATTTTACAAAAATTAAAAAAAAAACTTAAGTTAAAATGGTAACCACAATGATGTCAACAAAATTCATTGACAGTTACAAAATTTTCAATTCTGAACAGAAAATCACTGACCTTTTTTTCGTAGATTGTATTTGGACCATACCCAGAATGGTCCACGCTCCACAGCAATGTGATCCGCCACTATTCGCCTCAGCTTTTTTCTTTTCGTGTCTGCAATCCACCTTCAGCGACTGTAAGAAACACCTGATTCAATTCTTCAACAAATTAGCACTTGAAATTTAATTCTCCAAACACTCAGCTGCTTTTCAATGACACAAGGTCCTCTTCCTGTCAACTTAGTGCGGTCAAACTATTTCCTACGTATTCCTGAAACTGCCCAATTTAGATCAAAGGATATCTTTTCATCGACTTGTAATCTCCTTTCACAATTCTGCTAACTTCCTTTCACAATGCCGTTATCCAAACTCACGAACACACCCTCTGTCGAGACTTGACCTTTACTGTCGATGATCAAATGACAACTGCCCACTCTCTCTTATACATCCACTATTAACCCTTCCATTCAAAAAAAAACCGTCCAATCAAAAAACTTTACTTTGTTTACAATCATTTAGAAATAAACTCAATAGTGTTTCCAGAGAAACTAAAATTTTTGCTTTAAAACTGGCTTTCCATTTGGTTACAAATACATAATTCATTCCTATAACAAAAGGTTAATTACAATATCTTAATCCTAGGTCATATGCAAACAATGAAAAGATTATAATGAGTATAAGCTTTCTAATTCTATATAAAAGCGGCAAAACTTTCTGTTAATTTAATCTTATTTTAATCTAATACATAAGTTTTGTTTACCAGGATGTCTTGAAAATTTATTTAAATGGTCTATTTTTATTAATTTTTATTTTTCTCTTTGGCTGAGAAAAAATGGTATGACAGTATATAATACTTAAATAAAATGCTAGCCTAATAGATGAAAATATTGGACCAAAAGCTTATTGATTCCAAATCAAAGAAAGGTAGAACAAAACTCTGGAGGAAAAATAAACACAATATAAGAAAAAGAAAACGTGTACACAATTCCTTACAATGACCAAATCAAATATTTTTCAAAAATGATGTAAAAAAAGTGCAATAAAAAAATGTAAAACGATAGAACGACGTTAGAACGCTGTGAAACAATATATTATAACATAGGATTTTACGAGTAAATATAGTGATTGATGTTAGAAGGAAAGTGGTGCAGAAGATTAATCGAAAATAACGTATTGGTGAGTTTAACAACAAAAAACTGAGACATTAAATAAGCTAAAGTAGTGATTTTCAGAACATGCTGAAATAAAATTAATTACTGTTGCTCTGGAGCAGAGATGGCCAACTTAATCGGACTCGAGATCTACTGCCTGCCTTTCTAATTCTTTGTGATCTACCGATTAGGAATTTTTTAATGATACTGGCGAGCAATAAAACTTTTAATCCAGAATTTTAACGTTAAAAGTAAGCTGAATATCTTAGAGTCGCTCACTATATCTCATAAAATCAATCACTGATTCTTTTCATCTTCTTCTTCTTATTTTTATGTTCTATTATTGTTTCCGTGGTCTTCCTACTGATCGTCTTCCTATTGGGGAACCGTCTCTTGCCGTTTTTATTCCTTTATTTTTGTCACTGTGTTTGATCTGTTCACTTGATCTTTCACTTCAGTTTCGAGGTTTCCGTAGCTAGATAATGTGATCCCTAGATATTTAAACTCCATCACTTATTCTATTATCTGACCTTCCAGCTCCAATTTACATCCTAGTAAATTTGCTGTTATAACCAAGTATTTTGTCGTTTTGGGGAAAATTAAGATGTTAAATTTTCTGGTGGTTATATTAAATTGGTGAAGCATACGTTGTAAATCATCTTCACTTTGCGAAAGTACTGTTGCGTCGTCTACGTAACAGATTATTTGAAGTTGATTTACTTGTTTGATTACTTTTTTATTGTTTATCCATAATCAGGTTGAACAATAGAGAACTCAGAAAATCTCCCTGTTTTATCCCATTGCCAGCTTTAATAGGGTCGGTTAGTTCTTCTTCCACTTTTACTTTTATTGTGTTCTTTTGGTAGATACTTTTGATCGTTTTGATTATTTTTAGAGGTATCTCTTCTGCGTACAAGAAGTAAATAACGTCCTTTAATTTTATCCCGTTAAATGCCGTCTCAAGGTCCACGAAACATAGATATGCCGGTTTCTTGTATTCTAATGATTTCTCTTGCACTTGACTCATTATAAATATTGCGTCGGTGTATAATCTTCCCGACCTAAGACTTTGTTGTTCTTCTGCTAGTGTTATAATTTCGTTCAGTTTATTTTTTATCACTTTGGTTGTTAATTATTTAAGTGTTGTGTTTAATAAATTCATTTCTTTGTAGTTTTCTGGGTCCATTTTGTCTCCCTTTTTGAAGAGAGGTATTAGGATGCTTGATCTCCATTCTTATGGAATTCTGTTTTGTTCTATTATTTTTTGAATTAGTTTTAATAGTTGTTTGGTTAGATCTGGTCCTCCGTATTTTAGGAGTTCGTTCGGTATTCTGTCCTCTCCTGGTGATTTTCTATTTTTTAATTTCCTTTCTTTAGATCTCCCTTCTCAATATTTATTTCTTTGTTTGTCGTCACCTCTGGTGTTGGTTGTTCATTATCGTAACCTTTAGCAAACAGGGATCAAAAGTAGTCTACCCATGTTTCCTTCTGAATGTGTTTTATTTTTATTAGTTCGTTTATCTCTTTTCTTCGTTATCTGATCATTCTCCATATTTCTTTTTGTGTTGCATAGAAGTAGTGTTTCATCTGTTTTGAGAAGCTCTTACAGTGTTCCCTTTTTATTTGTCTAACTAAAGTGTTCGCTTCATTTCTGATTCGTTTATAGTGGTTTAACGCCTGTTGTGTTTGTTGTGTTCTGCATTGTAAAAAGGCTTTCTTGGTTTCTTCACATTTTGTCTTCACTTCCTCTTTAAACCATGGTGTTTACGTTTTTTCATATGTTATTGTTCGTTACTTTTCTCTCTCCAAGTGAGTCTGTTGCTGCGATAAATATGTTATTTTTGAGGTTTCTCCAGCTTTTCTCGATGATATCCTAATATTTTATTCCCAGCGATCTGCTCTAATATTCTTTTTTGTATAAGGATTCCGTGCATTTCGTATTTAGTCCTTCGACTTTGATTTTTATTTGTGTTTGCGCCGCTCTCTGGCTGTTTGAATTATTTCAGGATAATTCTTATTTTACATAATACTAGGCGATGGTGGTTACCTATATCTGCTGAGTTCAGCATCTTACGCCAACTATTTTCGATGGATGTATATCCCTGTTGGTTGTAATATAATCTATCATTGATCTTTGTCTACGGGTGTTATTAAATGTATTTGTACATGTGTTGGGCTTTGTGGTAAAAAATGTGTTGTTCGTTATATTCTATCTGATTCTAAAAGACTATTTTAGCAGCTTTCAAAATCTGAAAGAATTTTTAATCTGAAACCGATTCGGCTGTAAGCGCTAAAATTCTGGATGAGTTAGCTTTATTGCTCGCCAGTGTATATTAGTAATATGCAGATACAACAAAAGCATTCATTCTTATTTTTTTTTAACTATATTACATTAGAACAAAAAATCGCGAGTTGTTCGCAATAATCAATGTAATATTGCTAGCACTTCAATAATTTTCTTAATATTTAAGATGGGAATAGGTAGGTATATTATACCGATAATTTTTTCCTTGCTCGCGATCGACTGACCTAAAGGCCGTAATCGACGAGTTACACCAGATTCAATCTTGGTTACCCAAATTTAGCTCCAAGACCAGACAATGAGATTGTAATGTGGATAAGATCTACTATTTTAATTATATAAAACTATCACAAAATAATTAGTACCTACAGGGAATTAATATTTTTTCAAGACCGTCTATACAAGGTGTCCAAAAACTCTCCTGACAGACGAAGACTGGAGATTTCACAGATAATTTTAAGACAATTGAACATAATTTACCTATTCCAAAAAGATTTCTAAGGGAGCTAGAACTCTTAAGATGACGCCTTGTAATTAGTTTTTTTATACCTTCAAAATTCTTCTATTTAGAAAAACGAAAACTGGCGCGATTATTTATCGTTCAGAGTTAAATCGATTTCATCAACTACGAATTTCTAGTAATGGTCATAGACGTCCGTTTTGGGTAGGTCAATGGTTATTTTAACGCACAATTTTTTTGTGTTTAACTTTTATGCATTCCCGATACTAAATTATTAAATTCTCAGTTATTCCAGTACTAAAAGAACTCTTACTTTATTTCTGTAGAACACACCGTTTTCTAGAAACATCAAAGATTTGAAAATTTTTTGTTTTTTCGTTATGAAAGTTAAATGAATAGATACCTTACTTAATGTAATAAATTTTCATTTGT